ATATAGTTTTTTTATAATAATAAAAAATATTTTTTTATATTTATTTATTATTAAATATAGTTTTATATACTTATTTCTATATATTATTTATACTTATTAATATTTATATTATATTATTTCTATATATTTATATGTGAAAATAATTTTTTTTAAATTGTTATGCTCCAACATTTTTCATTTTTATATTTAATTATATTACATTATTTATATATTTGATGTATTTATAAATATAGTTATATATACTCTTTTATTTTTAATTGTATGGTTATGCTTTTAAAAACATCAACTTTTAACAACATTTAAAGCCTTATTCTACAACACTGACTGCTGTTACTGCACTGAAGGATCTGCTTTTGTTTTTCTTTGCTTTCTGAAGTTCTGAGGCACGGAAACATCCTTCAGTCTCCAGCGGTGGCTTCCAGGTGAATCGATAACCTGTCACTTCCAACATAACGGAGAGGATTGACCAGCCATCCCACACAAAGAGCGCACAAATGGAGCCCATTCTTCTTGTTCAAGCCAACATGTTGTAACACAGAAGGTCAGATGATGAGTAGATGTTCTGTGACGATAATGTTCACAATTACACTGAGAACCTGTCTATAAACCTGCCCAGACAGCAATGCCAATGCTTCTAGATCAGTAGCAATGTCACAATCCAAAAGTTCTGTGCTAAACACAAATAATAACATGCAGTAAATAATAAAATCATGCATGTTAGGACAGTAAAATAAACAGACTTATTAACATTAAAGGCAAGACGAAGGTGAATAAGGTACAAATATTAACTTATAGATATCACCACACTTCCACAGTTTTAATTAATCACAGTATATTAAGATAATTATTTTGTATCACAAGTTTTCTAAAATGTTAGATTTAAATATGCAAAATGTGCACTAATTCGCATACATTTCCAGAACAAAAATCTGATGAAGCCAGGTTAAAAATTATTTTAAATTTAGTTATTAAATTTAGTTAAAAATCCATAGGGGATTTTTTGTTTCTCTTTTTATCACTTCATAAATCATAAAATTATATAAATCAGTGTGAATGAAATGAACAAACCCCTCAGTAAAAACCTTCAGAATATAGATAGGAATACATCTGCTAAGTTTTGTGGATGTAAGTGCTGCTGAAGTGGAGAAACAAACTTATTTTGAGAAAATGACCTTTAAAGGGGTCATAGGATGCCCATTTTCCACAAGTTGATATGATTCTTTAGGGTCTTAATGAAAAGTCTGTAACATAGTTTGGTTAAAATTTCTCAATGGTAGTGTAAAAAAAACACCTTTTTTACCCTGTCAAAAACAGCTCTTTTCAGATCAAGCCGTTTTTGTAGCATTTTCCTTTAAATGTTAATGAGCTCGGCTGCCCCCGCCCCTCTCTTCCGAGCCGCTCTCAGAGAGACTGTTTACTTTAGCTGCATTCATCCTGAAACTTGCTAATTAGCACATTATTAGGAAAGGCGATTTGCAAAGATTCGTTAAAAAAACATTACACTTACTTCTTCTGTAGGTGAGGCTGGATCACGAATGATTTGTGCGAACATAGACGCATTTATATAGATGGGGGGCGCATTCCCTTCAGAAACGAACATAATCCACTGCGTCTTCAGCGGCTCAGATGTTGGGAGTAAATGACGACTGCTATGTTCATTATTACATCCAACAACAGAAGACCTCAATCGCTTAGGAGTCATTCTTGTCTACATCTGCTCCGGCGGTGAAACAATGGCGGACTGATGACAGCTCAATCAGGGCGGGTCTAAGGTAAGACACCAGTCCAGTCTGTGATGAAACACTACTGTCAATCAAACTGTCGTGGGAGGGGCCTGTCTGTGTGACGTCACACAGACAGGCATCTGAGATCGGCTCGATTTGAGAAAGGGGAAAACATTTAACCAGATTAAAAAAAAAAACACTGGGTGGATTTTTATCATCATAGGGTGGTTGTGTACTGGATTTTTATTATTTTAGGGTGTGTGTGTACACACTGCCAACACACATTTCAGTTCAAACAACTTGTAAAAGTGCATATAGCATTATATGACCCCTTTAAAGATATGTACCATGAATTAAATCTACAGATGCAAATAGATAAAGTGCAATAATAAAACCAAGGGAATGATATATGAACAAACCCCTCAGTAAATACAGAATACAGATAAGAATAACATTTTTAAATTGGGTATTTGTAAGTGCTGCTGAAATGGAGAAAAACTCTTTAAAGATATGCATTGGAACTGAAATCTACAGACACAAATAGATAAAGTGCAATAATAAAATCAATGTTAATGATATCAACAAACCCTTCTATAAAAACCTTCAGAATATAGATGGGAATAGAACTCTAAGTTTTGGTGTATGTAAGTACTGCTAAAGTGGAGAAACAAACTCATTTTGAGAAAACGGCATGAAATCTGCAGATGCAAGTAGATAAAGTGTAATAATAAAAGCAGGTGAATGATATTAACAAACCCTTCTATAAAAACCTTCAGGATATAGATTGAAATAAAGCTGTAAAATTTGATGTATGTAAGTGCAGCTGAAGTGGAGATAAAACTCATTTTGAGAAAACGGCCTTTAAAGATATGGATTGGAATTGATATCTACAGATGCAAATAGATAAAGTGCAATATAATAAACACTTAAATGTGTATTTTGGATGTTTTCTTTTCACTAGTCTAAAAGAAGACATGTTATAAAAGCAAAATAGACCAAAATCTCAAAACTGACCAGTACATGAAAAACATTTTAACTTAAAGTTCCACATACAGTATTTCAGCACAAATTAATCTGTGAATTATGAAACTTGGACATGGTCAGTCATTCAGATGTTGGTCGCTACTTGAGTTTTGAAGTAAAACCAGTTGAGAACCAGTGATCTAGAGATCTGAGCACTGAGAAGGACTTCTGCTCAAACTATTAAACCTGCACCAGTCCAAACTGGGTGTTATTCTGGCAGTGATCAGATGAAATGAGAAATGTGTTCCTCGAGGAATGAGAGAGAGAGAGACGCATCAGCGTTAGATTTTGAGACACACTAAAGTGACTTATGACTGTCAGACTGAGCCAGAAGATGTGCTAACACTTAGTTCTGCTGGGAATAGAGCTCAATCATACAGCCAAAATAACAACTTTACAGTGTTTCACATCTTCTCATTGCCTATTCAATGTGAAATAGGTTCAAATTAATATTCAACAAAAAGCCAGAAGACATCTAATTAATCTAATTAAATCTAATTAAAAGTAACAAATTAAGGCATATTTTCCCATACTAAAAAAGGTTGATTGAATGATTTTTTAAAATTTATTTTGTGCACACATGTACAGCAATAGTAATAAAAAGTAATATTTACCTAGTTTATATTCCAATTTTTAATCACTAAAAAAAGAAAAATCTTATGCACAGTAATAGCAATGAAACACAGAATTTATGTAGATGTATTCTTAATATATTTTTTATTTATGATCAAAAATCATTAAAAAAACTAAAAAGGAGAATTATTGTTAAGATTTTTAATTGCTGAAATCACTAAAACAATCGTTAAAAATCAAAAAAAAAATTAAACACATAAAAATAGAATGATTTTGAATAATTCTGTAAACACATACTGTAATAGCAATAAAAAGCAATAGTTACCTAGACGCATTCTTACTAAAAATCTGCCAAATTCCTGATTTAAAAAAATAAATAAATAAATAAATTTTGTGCACATATATACTGCAATAGTAATAAAAAGCAATATTTACCTCTATGTATACTTACTACAATTTCTTAATTCTTGATCAAAAATAAAGTCTCACCTCTCATTTTCTAACAAGAAAATACTATTTCAGTCTTTCAAAATTTCTTCGAAATTTCATGTTTTATTTAAATGCATTATTTGCTATTTCATTGTATTTGTTTGTGAAATTTACTATCAGTTTCTGAGTGAAATATTTTTCACAAAGTTTTTTTTAATCAGTGTTTAATGACTTCATTTACACTGACTCCGATGGCTTTCAGGTCCAGCGCTGAGGTTTATTGCTTTACATCATTAAATCTGATGGTGTGCAAATAAACATTCATGTTTCTTTCCGTTTACAGGCGGTTTGGGTTAATAAAGCAGAAGGCAGTTAACAAAGCAAACCTCACCAGCATCTCAGTGGCTATACAACCTGACCTTCTCACAAATATCATCCTCATTCTAACCAGTCTGACCATAAAAACCCAGTCAAACGTACTGCAAGATTTATGGATTTAAATTGCATATAAAATTCCCATGCACCTGTTTCATTTCTGTATGACTGACAAATATGCATCACATTAAGCTTATTTGTTTGTTAAAACTGTGTAATCCAAATGCATTTTATATGCACATGAACTTTAAATTTAACACACAAGCTCTGCTTGTTTAATCAGCAGACAGTGATTCAGAAGTGAACGCATATTGACCCATCCACTGCGTCTCATGCGTTTGACAGATCCACTGTGTCTCCGGCGAGCGCTGCAGTCGACGGCTCTCCTGAGAGAAGCACCAGCTGGCTGCTCCATTATTCATGGGTGTCACTGAATCTGGGTTCGGTTGAGCGAGAAACACACAAGAACAAGCACACAAACACTCCAGTGTGCAAACACAAGCAAAACAAACACTCACTTCTGACTCCTGCCTCTAAAAACACTACTGCTGGGTTCATACACTGGCTTTAACTTCTGTGCCGCGGGTCAAACTGACTCACATTGGTTTACATGCAGTTTGGGGAAATCGGCACTATGAAAAAAAACTAAAGATTCATGTAAAAACAGAAAACCTCTATTGTAGCTTCTCTGAGACTTAAAATGTCAAATATGTGAGAAAAACGTAATAATTCCCTATTTTTATTGTTATTTCTACTCTGTTGGGGTGATTTTGACCTATTTAATTTTATGTCCAAAATTAGCTGCATCAACACTTTTTATTTTTATTTACAACACTATTTATTTATTTATTTTAGTTTAGTCATGATTTTGTCATGTAGCAGGGTTATTATAGTTGTGTTATTAAATAAAATACATTTTTAAAAAATACTTTATTTCAGCTAGTTTCCAAGGCAACATTTCTCATTTTCATTTAGTTTTAATTGATATAGTAAAATATCTGAAACTGAAATAAAATATTTCACACAAAAAAACACAAAACATTAGTTACATTTTAACCAAAAATTAACATGAAAGCAGAAAATATGAAAATAAAACCTAATTCAAATTATTAAGAAACACTATAATAGTATCTCAGTGATACTAAAATAACACTGAAAATAACCCAAAAAAACATTTGACATTTTTTTGACTGTGAATTTTCTTTGAATGATTCAGAAAATGAGTCTCAATTTTGAATAACTTTAAGTCTTAAATTACATAAGTTCTTGTGTATTTCATATTTTATTCTGTGACAAACAACAATTAAGGCTTTCTGAATTTCACTTGATATGTTAATGTTTTTTAAAGTGTTATATAATATAGAATATATGTATAGAAACCAATGAGGGTCAATGGGGGAGTCTATATGACCGTAACAAAATTTGCACAGCCTTTCCAAAACACATCTATGTGTCAAATTAGACAAACTTGGGGGGGCGCATGTCCTAAAAGGTTGAAAACCCCTGCTCTAATCGTTCCGCTGTCGTCTCGTTACACATAAACACAAGCCAGTGCCGCTGATCTCATGACACTCTGGCTCTGGCTGCATTTCTTGGCAGTTTCGCTCTGCTTCCCACCGCAACAGAAACTGGTTTTGGATTATGGGCTGAGAAACAGTCGCACTCTTGCATAAATTTGTTTTGGATTGCCGTCCAAGACGGATGTTGTGTTAGTGTTATGGAAATCCTCGGAGCGACGCCAGCAGACTGGAGAAGCTCAGACGGGACACGGCTGTCTGCGGTTGCTTCAAAACATCTTCAGCTTACGATGAATGCACAGAGATATTATTTGGATGAAAAACTATGACCATAATTCACTGATTGAAATCAAAACTACACAGCCACATTGATTTTTAACCACTAATCGTAAGTGTTATCTTCAAGTGTTGTGAGAGTAATGTCCTTCTGAAAGTGGAGAAATCCGTATTTATGCTTTTTTTTATATATCCAAACATCCTTAAAAGAAGATAAATGTACTTAAGAAGAATAACTGTGTAAAATGATAAGACTAGTTTTAAGAGAATTTAGTATCTCATACAGGACTGCTTAAAAACATTTTCAATTTATGATAAATGCACAAAGATATTATTTGGACAAAAACTTAAAACATAATTCACTGATTAAAATAAAAAATATACAGCCACGATGGTTTTTAGCCAGATTTTTAGTTAAACTGATTAATTGAGCTGAACATAAACTAGACAACTTGAACGGAAAATATTCCTTTATGTCAAAATGAAAACAAAATCTAAGTTTTTTAGTTTTTTTAAAGACATAAATACTGACAAAATAATTACAATCACAACATTTGAAGACAATAAAATAAAAAAAATAATGGCTAAAAATCAGTGTGGCTTCATTTACAGACATTTTATTGATTCATTGTTAAAAGTAGGGGCTTAGTCAGATGACACCGATCACTGTATGTTTCTATAAACTCACGAAGAAAACAGCGTCAGTATGTCTCATGCACACATATTTCTCCCGTGGTCTGTCACTGCTCATGTTCCTCCGAAAGATCAGATGCTGTTGGTTTATTCATGGCACTCTCATTAGACGCACCTGCTTTAGTTCTGCCCTCATGCCATGTTAAATATCACAGCTAATATGGGAAACCTACATGTGTTGGACTCACAATGACATACAGTCATAACTTTAATTATTTCAACAAATATAAAAATTTAAAAGATTATAAATTTTAAAAAATGATACAAATAATAAAAACGTACATAATTATTTAAAAATATATTTTAAATAAAATAAAATATATTAAAATATTTTATTATTGTTTTTTTTGTGTATTATATTTATTGTGGTATTTTTGAATTTTCAGACACATAAACAGTACAATCACAAGACAGGACAAAACACAACTACACAAACAAGAAGGGAAAGAAAAAAACCTCCTTCAATTAAATTCAATTTAGCAGATAAACACATCCCCAAGTAAAGGTAAAGGGGTTCAAAGCAACTTTTTGCACAATATGACATCATAGACAAGGTGAAATAATATTGTAATAATAACAATTATAAAATAATAATAATAATAATAGGTAACAACCTAGGCCTTTTTACCTCACAAGGGCATTACTTAAGGAAAATGACCATAGTAACAGAGAGCGAATAGATTTGCAACAGTGTCAACATTGTCGCTAATTTTGACAAATAATTGAGGAAAAGAAAAAGTCAAATATTGAAATTAAATTTAGAGAGAAAAAATCTGAGCATATTAAGATTGACACGGAAATTAAAGAAAATAGCAATTACAAGAATAGAAAATTAAATTTCAGATAGTATCGCCGTTATTAGAAGTTTTTAACAGGTGATTGAAAAGAGGCCTCCAGGAAGCATCAAACTGATCTATATTTCCAGAAATACTATATCTAAGTCTTTCCACATGCAGGGTGGAGGAGAGTTCTGACAACCAAGTTTTGAATAGTGGCTTCGACTTTTTCTTCCACACGCAAAGAATAGATTTTTTTGCAATCATCATACCATACTGTATAGGCAGTCGGAAAGCATGGCTAAGACGCTGCAAGGAAGCTGACCAGCCAAGAACAGCAGTCGCAGGATCTAAAGGAAGCTCACATGCATAAGCATCAGAGAGAAATTGAAAAACTTCTGACCAAAATTCACAGAGTTTTGGGCATGCCCAAAAAAGATGACCAAGAGAGCCCTCTGCAGATTCGCACTTATTGCAGAGAGGGGAAATAGTAGAATAGAAAGTGTTTAGTTTGACCCTTGAATAATCTTTAGATGTCTCTGGGGCTGCAAATAGCAATGAGGAGAGAGACGAGTTTGAAGAACCCCGTTCAATCACAAGCCATGAAGGAAGATCATCTGAGAAACTATCGGGGTGTGGGTCATACCAGTAATTTAAGGCTCTACAATTGGCAGCCCAGTAGTAGTGCTGAAAATTTGGTAGACCTAAACCCCCCAATGACCTTGGCTTGGCAAATATATTGATAAGTTCTGAAAAAGATACAAGAATCTGGGCAATGCCACCATCTTAATAGCGTTCACACGCCCCATCATTGATAGAGGTAGGGTCCGCCAGCATTTTATATTGCTCTTTAGGTTTTCTATCATAGTTAAATATAATTAATTATTGTTAATATTTTTATTTTATTTTATATTTAAAATAAAACAAAATAATTATATCATAATTATATCATATACAGTATCTTACAGAAGTGAGTACACCCCTCACATTTTTGTAAATATTTTATTATATCTTTTCATGTGACAACACTGAAGAAATGACACTTTGCTACAATGTAAAGTAGTGAGTGTACAGCTTGTATAACAGTGTAAATTTGCTGTCCCCTCAAAATAACTCAACACACAGCCATTAATGTCTAAACCGCTGGCCACAAAAGTGAGTACACCGAGTACAGTGAAAATGTCCAAATTGGGCCCAAAGTGTCAATATTTTGTGT